CAGCAGCAGCAGCAGCGGCACGAGCAGCATTGGAAGCTGCCGGTAACCCTAGAAACAACAAATACAAGGTAAATGGCAACAATGACAAACGCCGCCACCGCGGCAGCAGCTGAAGCGGCCGCAGCAGCAGGAGTACCTTAAGGCCAAGCCGCTGCGCAACAAGCCTTGTAGTTTGGAAGCAAAGACAGGCGTAGGGGTCGCCTGCTGTCCAGCTCACTTCCCGTGGAATGCCATGATAGGAAAACAGCAAATGCTGCCCTCGCCTGGTCACAAACGCTGAAACTGAACTGTAAATACATACGTAATCATAGACAGACACAATTTGTAATGAACGCTGCATTAGCATGCAAGAAATGGGCACACCATATACGATTTGCACGGGCCATGTAATACGTGAACGCTGCATCAACATGCAACAAATATTCACACCATATCATGTGCATGGGCCACGCGCCTGCACAACAACGTTTGAGTACACCAATCCATAAATAACATTGCTAATACGGCGGCTGCCTCGCAAAAATACACCTGTACATGTGCAGCGACAAGATAGATGTATAATTTGCTGCTCAGGCAAAACGGTACGCAACAATTGGGATACAGACCGACCCATTTTTTCCCCAGAATCTCTTAATTGAAGAAGCGACAGCATGTATGTACGCCTCGTTGTTCCAATAGCCCCCCACCACCCGCAAGTCTGGCATAACTCTGCATCCAAAAAATCAAAATCAGCTGCTGCTTTTGCTACTGTGACTGCTGCAGCAACTGCTGTTGCAGCGACGGCGTGTGAATGTCCAGCTGCGGAGCAGCAATAAACGGCACCAAGGCAACGAAAATCAAGCAATTAGCACGCACCCCCCCAGGCCTGTGTGAAGCCGCAACAACTAGCAGCAGAAGCATCCAGCATCAGCGGCCACAGTTGCCGCAGCACCACTTGCAGCAGCAGTGACTGCCACAGCAGCGGCAACAGCAACATCAGCTGCTGCCACAGACCAAGCAACAGTCACAGCAGCACGGAGAGGCACCAGCAGAAGAAACAGCTAACCGCCATTTCTTGAGTTCGTCGAAGGCTGCATCAAAGGCGGAGCCTGTGCATGAAGCCGTGGGTTGTGGATAGAGCGGCACCAGCAGCAGCTTCAACTGTCTATGCTGCTGCTGCAGCTGCTGCAAGCAACTTGCTATACTCGGATTCCCGTAGCGCACGCATGCGACGACTTCAAAGCGAGGTAGTAACTGTATCTGCTGTTGCTGCATCTGGTCGAGGTGATGCTGCAGCCGAGCAGCAAGAGAAAGCAGGTGCACCAGCAACGGTGGAGCCGCACCACCATTCAACGCAGCGCGCACCTGCTGCTGCAAAAACAAAGGCGCTTGTGTTTGCCGCTGTTGCAGCGCAGCCGCTGCTGCGGAAAGACGCTCCTTAACATCTTCAGCAGACAGCCAGATGGAGGAATACCTCTTTGCCGAAAGAACTGAAGCAGGAAAAAGCACACACCATACCTGCGGCTTCTGTTTCCACTGCTGTTGCTGTTGCTGCTGCTATTGCTACTGATGCTGCCATTGCTGCTGTTGCTGTCGTACAAGCCCGAAATGGCAAAACGACGAGGTGTAGCAGGGGCAGCCAAACGACTCTTGGCAGCTCGACGACGCGCCGGTCGCTTAAAAAGTCTGCGCGAGCAGCAATAACAACAGCATTAGCAGCAGCAACAGCAACTCAGGCAGCGCCCAACTAAAGGTTCCTACATAGAGGTTTTCAGCTCAAAATATTGAAGGGTCACTGGGGTGGACACGATACGAGTTGAGGCAAACACAGAAGTAGCTGCAACAACAAAAGCTGAAGCTTCTACATCAACATCAGTACCTTACGCCTGAGGTAGTTCCACACTGCGGTGTAAGTCGGCTGTGACGGAGAGCCCAGATTAATGAGAACGACATGAACTACATCCTTGCTGCTGCTGTTGCTGAGTCTGCTGTTGCAGCTATTACTGCTGCTGCCGCACTCTACCTGTGAGGCCTGAGGGGCGTACGGGTTATCCCGGTGCCAAAAGCTCTGCCAGCGTGCTGCTGCTGCACTAAGCAACTTCTGTTCTCTGCTAATGATTTGTTGCTGTTGTTGCTGCCGCCGCCTGTAGTGTTCCTTCTGTTTTCCCGTCCCCCTCCACGCATCCGCAGCAGCACTATCAGTGAGGACTCCACTGTTGCATCCTTCCCTTTGCAAGTTGCTGCTGCTGTTGCTACTGTTGGGGCAATTTGTATGAAAGCCACACCGAAGTGTGCTGCTGGTGCTGCAGCGGCGGCACGGAGCAACGAGTGCGCAGATCCTTGGCATATGCATTCCAATCAGCCGCAGGGGCTGTTGCTGATTTCCCGTTGCCTTGCTTAACCCTAAAACCCACGCCATAAACCCACAAACCCTCAACTCTTGAATGACTTCGCGCTGCTGACTTCTTTCGTTCACCTTCTGCGCCTTCACTACAAAGGAAGAGACACAAAAAAATCCACGGGACTTTATTTCCCTGACCCAAGGGACAGAATGCACGCAGACAGAATTGCAGAACCCACCGACGGGCGTGCTGAGACGTCGCATAAACCCTCGACCATAAATACCTGGGTCTTGAGCCTAAACCGTACACCCTTAAGCTCACTCCCAGAAGACACCATCAATTCAGCATCTGGAACACATTGTGTTTGCGTATTAGTAAAGGAATACTTGTTTCAGAGTCGGGGTTTATGGCTTTGGGATTGGGGCTCGCCGTTGCCACGCTGGTTCGGAGCAGTTACAAGCGGCGGTGTGGACTTTACCCCAGCAGTAAGAATATGCCAATTAAATGAACAAATGCAAACGAATAATTCCATTATTTGAGTCACTTTATACTTTTTTTCGACCTAGTTGCTGTTTCCAGTTGCTTTAATCTCCAGCCCTCAGCCCTAGTCCCCAAACGCTCTCGACACATAGACATTGAACATGAATGCTCCAGGTTCCCCAACGCTAACTGTTAACCAAGACGCTCCTGCTGTTACGAATGAAGAAGAAGAGTGTGTTGCTGCTGCTGCTGCCTCAGGAGGAGCAGCAGCAGAGTCCCCGGTAGAAGTAAAAACAGATGGACCAGCAGGAGCGTTTGTACCAGCAACTACAGCAGGAAGCGCAACCAGGGGAGAAGCTGCTCTTGCAGCAGCAGCGGAGCTGCAGCAGCAGCAGCCGCAGCTGCCCATGTTTCAGCAGCGGTCGACCCTTTCCGCTGAGCAGGTGCAGGCGTTGAAGGCCTTTGAGATAAAACTTCGAATTGACAATGAAAAGTACATATGTTTATTATTTATGCATGTATATACTCAAGTTATGCATGGCACTTACAGAGTGCATAGTTCATACGCGTGAATATCAAGTATCAAATATTTATGTGTGTGGATGTGTAGTCATGTACATTCACCCTTAAAAGTTCAATGCGTTCAGTAGTTCATGAGGCATTTGCACTTTTCACTGATCATTCAAAGCTTATAGGAATAATACGAACATTGGAATATTTATATTGCCGGGCTACAAACGGCGACGGCATTGTTGCTCGTCATTTGCAATGCTGTTTAAGACTTCGTGCGCCCGTGCATACGCTTACATGCGCACCGATCGAGCTGCATTTATGACCATAATTTATTACTAGAAATAGATTTTTGATGAGGAATCAATGGAGAGAAGCACAAGAAGCTTTCGCGTTTGCCGGTGGGCGTAGCTTATGAAGAATGCCATATAAGAATGTGTACACACAAGCTTCAGCAGAAAAACAAAATTAGTTGGAGGGCGTGGGTGCGTAAAGGAATTAATGAATAAAGAAATAAAACACAGACCATTTTCTATGAACAAGGGCAAGTGGTCTGCTGCGCTTCAACCGAGAGTTGCTGGGGCAACCAACTAACACACTAGGGGCTAGTGAGGGGCTCACCAACCGGAGCGTTAGCTAGAGAGGCAGCAGTAAACAAGCAGAGAGAAGTGCAAACGAATAATAGTGAATAAATAGAGAACAAGAGATACAGGAAGCAAGGAAGGGTCAGAGGCAAGTGCCAAATGCTAGTAGACAGATAGAGCCACGTAGACGAACCACTACAGAGACAAAGTGCGAAAAGAACGCTGTAGAGGCGGCGACACAGGTAATTATGTCTGGATGTATGGGTACCTTGGTAGCTAGCCACCTCATCCCGAAGGAGTTATCTACCTTGTGTCTGCATGAGGGAAGGGGTAGGGGTGCGGACCTACAAACTCAAAGGAGTAGATTGAAGGGCCGACAAGAGTAGGGCAGCGGCTCATTTTACGATACTTATCTGCCTGTTACGTCTGCAAACAGCAACCGCCTTTCTGTGCGAGTGCGCAGGTACTTGGCCGCTCACCCTGAACTCAGTGAGTTGCTTCTGGCATTCTTGGGTGCGGTCCTGGAGCACCAGCAGCGGCTCCAGCCGCAACAGAGACTTCATGAGCAGCAACTGCTGCAGTTCGCCGGCCGCTTCTTCACCCAGCCCAACCTCAGAGAAATCGCAGCGAGAGTAGCGGACAGACACACTGCCGATGCAACCTTTTCACATGCCCCGGGCAGGTAGACCCAGCAGGCTAGATGCAAGCCCAGCTAGCTATCCATGTGCCTACCTAGGCTCTCGGGCAGCGAGACGCTCTCAGCTGGCAATATAGCTAACCAACGGACTAGCTATATAGCTAGCCCTCTAACTCCATGGATGGATAGTTGCCGAGAAGGGCAACATCCTACGTTCCTAGCCGGTTAGCTGTATAGCTACCCCTCTAACTACATGGATGGATAGTTGTCGAGAAGGGCAACATCCAACCTTCCCGGCCAGTTAGCTAGCTAGCTGTCTGTCTCAAGGGCTTCCTAGTTGAGCAGCCGGTTGGATGGCTTTCCAGCTGCAGGTGGTACACCGCGTCCAGGGGACTCCTTGTTTGTATCGCCTATCCAGGTGATAGCAAGCAAAGTAGAGAATCGGTTGGACCGTTTGACAGGAGTCCCCTATCCTTTGACAGGGCCTTTTGAGTCTTTTCCAGGCGTGCCGCCAGCATCATGACCAGCAGCAGTCGTTGGGGCAGCAGCACCAGCAGCAGGAGCACCGGACACAACAGTGGAACGAGCATCTAGAGGGGTTGGGACGGTGCTGCACAGTTTGCTGAAAGTCCCACTTTTCCCGAAAAAGCGGAAAGGGCTAAGCGCTAATGAACGCCCTCCACCAGCAGCAGTTGGCTTAGCAGGAGCTCCAGCAGTAGCGCTATTGTCTGCTCCTGCTACTGGGGTTGGCCCGGTCGCCGGACTGCCCTCCGTTGCACTGACGCTCTGAGGGGAAAAATATTCGTCAAATTGGAGGGTGTCTTTGCTGCAGATAACTCCTTGGGGCTGCAGTGCAAGTGGCTGTACCTGCTGTTGCTGCTGTTTCTCGTCGTTGCACTCGATATGCTGCGGCTCTTGCATTTCCGTGGGCACGTCAAATTCCTCATCCTGTTGCTGCGCCTGCTGGCGAGGCTGCAGCAACTGCTGTTGCGACTGGAAAGGCCGCATGCGGAGCAGCACTCGGAACTCCTCTTCAGTTGCAGGTGCTGGACTGCTGCTATCACTGGGATGCATAGCTGGGAAGCCACCGATACCCTCCCAGCATAGTTTGTCGTTTCTTGCCGCTGTTGCTGCATCAGTTCCCGGTTTCGCTGCTTCAGCTGCTGCTGCAGAGATATCTGCTGAGTCCAAAAACTCCCCGTCAAACTGCTGCTGCCGCTGCGCTAAAGACTGCAGGAAGGCAAACCGGTCTCCGCTTTCCCTAAGGCTCGCCTGGAGCGCTGCCACCTGTTCCTGCGAAAGGGAGAGTATTACAGATGCGTGTTGCTGGGCGGCTACAGCCAATACTGGCACATTGCAGCGGCTGTTCGTGTGGATGCTTTTTTGTGTTTTTGTCTGGTGTTTGTGGCAAGTTCCTTTTTGCTTTCTGCATTTCTGGTGGCCTGTTGTGTATCGTTTTTGACTTGGTTGTGTCATACGATACCGTAAGAAGAGCATTTTCCGCGGCCAGTGCATCGATGTCTTCTAAAAGAAGATTCACAGCCTCTGCAGTGGCGTGCTGCAGTGTAGGGTGTGGCATTGCTGCTGCTGCTGCTGCTGCCCGTCCTCTCCGTTCCCTTTCTGCCTCTGGTTGCTCCTGCAGGTCCTTTGGTTGCACAGAGACAGAGGCAAGACTTCCGCAACCAAAGCATAAAACACTGAAAGAAACTCAACTGGGGTCACGCAAACGTACGCACAAGACAAATATACAGACAGAACGATGAGACAAGCCAGACACACGCGGGAGATGACGCAAAACACAGTGGGCGGAAGCATGCACGCAGAGGCCTATATGCCTATAGACTGATAAAACCAAGAAAGAAGGCAAGATACGATACGTGCTGCAGAAACAGGGACGACGTCAAGCATAGAGAAAAACAGAAGCAGCGGCACATGCGCAGAGAGTAACAGATGAAAATACAACCAGGGGCTCGATGGCACAGACCTACAGGCACCCAACACACACCCGCACACACAAACATTACAGCGAGCAAGGTAACATTGATAAATAGTCGTTTGCCTTAGAAAACAATGCAGCACAACCCCTCACGCAACGGGGGAGGTGGGCATGCACCAAGATAGCACGGGTACATAATTGCTCTTTCCATACTCCTAGTCGCCAGCTCAGGTTTTAGGAATTAGGATCTGACTTGCCTCTGGTTCCTCTGCGGCATCAAGGAAGGTGGTGATTGGGTTGGGGGGCAGTCGCCTTCTCATGTTGAGTCTCTCGTGCAGATCCTAAGCGGAGACGCCAACAAAATACGGGCAGGCGCGTGCAAGTGCACGCACGCACAAGCATATGGTCGCAAACACCTGTCGGAAGACTTCCAGTGCTTTCTGCTGCAGCAGTCGAGCCTTCAGCACAAACAAGCTAGCCTCTTTTTATTTAGACATGATCGCCCGTTTTGTACACAAAGCATGTCGCCCAATGCTCAAACTATCAAGGGTATGCCTTGCCTGCACCAGACGAAGGAAGCGGCTCTCTGCTGAAGGGTGGCTCGCCTTGAAAGCAGAGAACAAGCAACAGCCCCACATATACAAGCAGTCAGTATGGCCCAGTAGATACGAAACACGTATGTGCACATAACTGGGATGCTCAAGTCTATGCTTAACGAGCAATACATGCTCAAGTAGTTGGGTAGTTAAAACGCGGCCAATATGCAGGTGATTAGTCCATCCATACACCCTCAGTCGCATCGTGGTGAGAATGTTGAGTGGAGCCTTAACGATTGTAAAAGTGCCTCCCAAAAGGTGAACCCTAAACGCTGAACTTCTATTTAGGGTTTTAGGCCTAACATGTACGAGGATCTAACATGCATATCGCAATCTGGCGGAGGGTTTCTGTGGTTGTAGGTTGTGGGCGAGCGATGATGGAGTCTTAGTGTGGTAATGTCTGGGTTTCGGCTTCATTTGTGTGCTGTTTCGTTTCTCGCACGCTTTGGTCATTCTGTTTCTCCGCTCACTTGGCGATGTAGCTGGCACTGGAGCTGGTGAAGCTTGGCCTTAAGGCCAGCCACTGCATTCGGGTCGTTGTGGGTATCAGTGTCACTGATGCACTTCTGCAGCTTGTGGAATTGGGCGCTGTTGTTGCGAATGGCCTTTGCTCTCTTCGCATATTTTAAAGTGTTGAGGGTTTCCTCTTGGTGGCTGCTGGCGGGGGAAACCGTTGCAATCATTGCCGTACGGCAGCAGCCCCCCAGGCTATCCTTCAACAGTCGCGTGAGCTTGCTGTCTCTATACGGAACAAAGCGCACCGGGGGGGCACCACAGAGGCTCCCACAGTTGCCCGAAGAAGGCCCCCCACTTCTTGCTGTTAACGCGTTTATTACATTGCCTAGTGCCAACAGCGACCTGTTAATGCTGGCGCCTGAGAAGTTTGCAGACAAAACAACATCAGGAGAGTATGGTGCAAATGAAACCCCAAACCTACACAGAAAACTCTTAACATTAGACGCTGACAAAGGCTGGCACAGACAAATATGCGCTGTTTCCACGCAAAGGCTCGGAAGGGGCAAACAAACAGCAGGACCTTCCGTGCCGTTGCGTGGATACAGCCCTTTAGGGGCAAACAACAGCAGGTCCTGTTGTTTGTTCGCCCCTTTAGGGGCAAACAAACAACAGGACCTTTAGGGTCCATTGCTCGGGTAAGGGGTTTTTCGGGGGTTGTACAGTTTGTGAAGGAACAACGAAACAAACCACAAACGCACACAAACCAAGACAAAGGCAAAGACACATACACACGTAAGGATAGACAAACAGTTAACGGGCAGCCAGCCGAACGCATTCTATCCTAACCCTTATATCACCATATTCGTACGCCTCTAACCCCCTAACCTCTAAATCCACAAATATCTAAGCCACAGGACTTCTGCATAGCTGCACTGATGAAATTTTGAAGACGTGGGCATCTAATCTAAATGCCAAAGCCTCAGACTTCACCACTGAACACTTTCTCCTCTAGAGCACCAAAGTACCGCAACACGTTAGGAGCGTGAACCCCTGAAACCCTGAAATAGGTGGAGGGGCACCTTCGGTCATCCTCTGTCCGTGATTGCTGGTTTGAGACGCCCGTTCACTGCCCGCCAGATCAACGAGAGACAATTTCGAAACTTGCGTCTCTTCTCCGTCCCGGCCACGCAGTATCACATTGACCTGCGAAGATGAAACATTCCGTGAACGATGTAGGCATGATTGAGTAGGTACAGGGGTCCAGGTCACATGCACATGCAGAAGGCACAAAACCCAAACGCATATAATACGCACAGGCGAATAAGTCACACTTACGCACTACAAACGACAAGCTAAGTTGGAAGCGTGCAAAAAGTACATGCACAGTGCGCATAGAACCAGCAATGGCGCTCAGCAGTTTCCTCCGAAGCCCTTCATGAGAAAAGTTCCTGGGAGGTGTTAGAAGCTGGTGCACGGTCCATGCTTTTTCTGCGACTGCTTCCGCCTGCCACCTTCAGTGTCTAACGCTCCAGCAGCCCCATGTATTTGCAGTGCTGAGCAGTGTGTCGCCTGAAGCCAGCTAGATAAAGCTGCCTTTCTAGCCAGCCGCCTGCTTGTCCTGCTGGCTAGCTGGCTATCAAGCTAACCAGGCCCCAATCTAATTCATGGCTGAGCTCAGCCCTCTTTGCCGGCTACGTGGGTTTACTGCGGAGCATCTCGCTGCATCACGGAGTGCATTCGCTGACTCTGGAGTAGCCACACAAACGGCGGAGCACGGACAATAGGCGAACAAGGATTTAGGGTTGTTCGGCTGACTTGTAGGACAGCGTGGGACCTGGATGAGGTTTGATTCGCATTCGTAGCCTCTTGTGTACGGCGCGAGTTGCCTTCGAATAGGAGTAGCAGCGCCTGCTGTGGGGAACAAAGTCTGTGGACAGTAGCATGTTGCAGCAGCACCCCCCTCTCTGGGTCTTCTCGCAACTCGCATACTTCGCCGCGAGGCCCCAACAAATCCCTAATAGTCTCGTTGTAAATCTCAACGAAGCAGCAGCTCAACACATACTCCTTCTCCCGCTCACTGCTGACCTGTAACCGCCTCACACCGGTTCAGTGCAACCTCAGCTGACAGTTTCACCCAATGCTGTTTGCGTGGACAAGCAGGAAAGTTTCGGTCCAGCCGTGAGGTTATTGCAAAATCCGGGACACACTGTATGGTTTCCCTTGTTATATAGTGCTGCCCTTGTTATATAGTGCTGCCGATGAGCCACATAAAACTACAAACTTCTGCTTCTGATGCTACCCTAAAGGCAGCGTGTAGCAGCCATGAATGCTGCGAGGTAGCGGAGTAAGGACCCTACGCGCCAAGACTGCCTCCAGCCTCACTGCAAGTATGTGCACATGTGTCTTAGTTGGCTTCGCTGCCTTGTGTCATCCAACAACCGCACTTTCCAAAGCATCTTTAGGGCTCTTAATGCTATTAGAATGAGGCATATGCAGCGAATGCAGCAGGATTCGTGTTTGCAAGTCGCCTTAGCGCTTTGCTGTTCAGCGGGTCATCTTCATGCTTCTTTTTTTCTAGTTGCGAGGGAGTGCATCGTGATGCCTACTGCGATGTACAAGTGCTGCAGTCCCTTCTGCCTGACCTGCTGAAACAGGAGCTGGAGTGCCCGAGGCATCACCCCTGGACCCGTTTCAGTGCCGAGCATGGTGTAGGTCTTTCCCGCTGCTGTGGCACCGTAGGCAAAGACTGATGCATTGACACCTTTGAAAAGCTCCTGAAGCAATGGAGACGTGCTCAGCTGAAACACCTCTTCCTGACTCGCACACTCCCCAAAGACGGTGTCAAATATGAAACATCGGCGGCGAACTCGTCGCCCTCGAGGACCGCCCCCTGCTCCCCACTCAGTCACCAGCAAAGACTGGGGAGCCACCACGGAAATGCTTTTGTTGTCGCCTTGTCTAAGCTCGGAATCGCTTAACGGTCGCACGCGCACAGCTACAAATACGTTGCTGCTGCCGCTGCCGCTGCTGCTGCTACTATGGCAGTCTTCCGCTGAAATCGTCCCCCAGTCGGTACACGACTCGCCACCCACAGAGAAACTGCTAGAAGGAACAGCAGCAGAAACGGAAGGAGATGCAGGAGCAGGGAGTGAAGGGGCCCCTATTGCGTCCGCGGCGTCAGCTGCACCAGCAGGCGCAGATGCAACGGCTGCAGAGATGTGTTCCGACTCGGTGCTCAAGTATCGCCTGCTGCTGAATTGATGACCAGACCACAAGCTGCTGTTAGTGCTGCCCAAGCTCAGTCTATTGCTGCAGGCAGGGTTACCAAGCGCTGCTTCTCGAGTTTCAACAGGGTGCCCACAGCGCTGGCTACCCATCGCCGTGCTGTAGCCATGCACCAACCCCCTGCTGCTGGTATTTATTTGCGAGGGACTTCGCTTCTCCTGACTCGCTAAAGAAGAATTTGATCGACTGCGCCGGCCAGCATAAGGCACGAACTGTGTTGCTAAGGTAACCTGCTGGTCCTCTAGATGCTTGTGCGATATCGCAGCTACAGGCTTGGTAAGCTGACGGTGAGTTTGCTGCTGAAGCTGCTGCAGTTGCTGTTGTCGCGGATGTGGCAGCAAGTGACTAAGAAGCGCGGTTGGGGTGGGCAGTTTATGCAGCTGCGTCACTGGTGGGTTCTGTATCATCTGGTAAGCAGGGAAGGCTTGTGTGCCTCTACACTCCGCAAAGGAGTTCGCTGTCACTAGAGCCCCCATGGGAGCCCCCTCCTGTGTATGCATGGAAATCCGTGTTTTGTTTGGGTTGAAGTGCATCTGCAGGAGTTCCTGATAGCTGCGTTTTCTTACAGTTACCCATGCGGTGTGGTGGCAAATACTACTACAATGGCACAGTGTTTGAAGCCTTCTTCCGTTAGCAAGGCCTTTCGGTTATCAACCTATGACATCCATACATAATATGTCATAGTTGGTCTTTAGCGGCTCTGCTGCCTTTCAGAAGGGGGGCCGATGGCCTGAAACAGCGGCGGTGTGCAGGAACGCCCCCCCCCCCCCTACACGGCATCACG